CATGGACAATGATGGCTATATCTCAAATGGGGAACTGTTCCAGGTTAGTGGAAGGGGAATGAGATTATATTCATCCTATTTTTAGTATCAAAATGGTTCTGGTATAACTAAAATGTTAGGTTTAGTAGGTTTTCCAGGACATTATCATATCGTTTTAAAAGATACTAAAATGAAATGTATCTGTTCATTTTTTAGTTATGATATTGGCCAAATTATGTTGATAATTAGTGTATTTGCATTTTTGTTTTATACCCTTTCTGTTTTGGTTTGCCAATGTCTCTTTCTCCATCTCCCTCCCAAAGTAATACATCTAGGTGTATAATTATCATGTAGGTATTGCAGTGTTATTGATGCAAAAATTACTTTATAATATACATATAGCATTTTACCATTTATTTTCATCCAGAGCTGTATTTTACAGCAAGTTTTTGTCCGAATTCAATAACACTATACAAAACCCCGACTCAAAGATTATCTTCATAAATCCACTTTTGGAAATAGAAATTGTTCTTCTATTCACTCTTTCTCCTCCTCTTGCATCCCTCTCCTTCTCCTATGGCCTCTCTTCTTTTTTCCTTCTCTCTTCATAACACTATCCACATCTTTTTTGTCTTTCCCTTGCCCCCATCCTCACTAAACCCTGATCTCTTGACCATTCTATTTATTTGTTATTCTGCTTTTTCTAGGTCCTTAAAATGATGGTGGGCAACAACTTGAAAGACACACAGCTGCAACAGATTGTGGACAAGACCATTCTCTTTGCCGACAAGGATGAAGATGGCAAGATCAGTTTTGATGAATTTTGTGCAGTTGTTGGCAACACTGATGTCCACAAAAAGATGGTGGTTGATGTTTAAGTTTGCAATCATGGTTGTTGATTTGGGTGCCACTGGCCGAAGGTGCAGTACATGTTATGCTTTCTTTGACTTGTCTCATCCATTAGATGACTTTTTTGATGACATATATGTCGTCTGGGTACATCCTCCTCAGTGTGGGGTACAGAAACATCCTTTTGATACTCAAGATGAAGGCACATTGTTTTTAATACAGCAGAATGCAACAGTGTGGTGAGCAGATCTTTAGATTCTGCCAGCTGATAGCTCCTTACATGTCAAAATTTGTGATGAAAATGTTATCCTTAAAAGAATAATGGGAATCTACTTTGATATTTGTGTAGTTATGACTATCAGTCAACTTTTATCTGTAGTTCAGTAACACTTTCATTTGTGTGCTTTTTTCATGTGGAAATGTTAACTGTCATACCCTGTGAAGTGGTATCATGGATTTAAGATTCATATATTGTTGTTCATTATTATTTATATGTGTATAATTATTTTGATTTTTTCTTGATAGAGCCAAGGCTCAGGTGGCACTCTGCTGGTAATTGTTTAAGACATTGATATTTCTCTTCATGTTTGAGCTTATGTATGAAGTGTTTATGCATTTGATCTCATACACTTAACTCCCTGCATAGCATCTATATAGTATAAATATCCCCTTTATTTCAGAACTGAAGTTGTTGATCATTGAGTAGTAGTAAATTCCTTCACTTCATACATGCATCACAATAGTTTTTGTTATATATTTGTAAACTTGTGGACCATAACAGAAATATGGTTTTGCAAGACTTTTCTATTTTATGTATTGTGCATAATTACCTGTAACACTCCCTGAGGAGGCATATGGCAGGATCCTTGGGGAGTTTGTGTCATCGTGACTGGATGGGGAGGCTCAAATTCTGAGTGTACTTTGCAGGCCCTGGTGGCTGTGTTGTCATCTTGTTTAAGCTTCTTGATTTTTATCTGGGAAGAGAGTAATTTGAATGTAAGGTCATAGCCTCCTGTTAATTTGTTTTCTTTTTTTTTTCTTCTTCTTCTTCTTCTTCTTGATTTCACATTTGATGTTTGAAAAGTCTTGGGTTGAATAATTGTAATGGCAACAACATTGTGTAAGGAGTTTCATGCTATACTTGTGAAAGAGAAAGGGGAAAATGGAGGGCTAGATTTGACTTGATAAAGAATCACCTTGGGTTCTTAGTAGGCAAGAGCTGGTTTTATATGAACACATTAAAAGAGAATGTATTCTATTTTATTTTTTATCTATTACAAGTGTACACCTTCAGAATTTGGGCCAGATAGGGTTGTGTGTACAGACTGGCCTCATTTCTTCATCAGTTAGAGGCTAATAATAAATAGTTTCAAAATATTGTTGTTAGATGTATGTTTATGTACTTTCATATCATTTTTAAAGAAAGAAGTTACAGAGTAAGAATGAGGATGTAGCATGACCCTAGGCAATTAGAACTCCATCAACCTACGTGCAATACACCTGCTCAGGCAGAAGTCCTGTGCGCTGCTCTAGCTAGTCAATATTGCTCGGTCACTATATAGCATGAAAGCCGCCACAGGCTGTTCCTAACAGCTGTTATTGCAGAATATTTTCTAATGTTTCATGAAAAGCATTTGAGCCAGATCTGTTCATATTACACAGTATAGTACCCAGAAGCTAAGTGAGTAAAAAGTTTCTACATTTATATTAGCTGAGTGGGAGAAATAGACAGATGTATAAATTTATCACTCAAGAGTATATTGAACTTGAAATATAAAGATAGATGGTGTGTAACATGAACACAAGTTAATATGTAATGACCTCATTTTCAAGACAAAAAAAAAGTAAAAGTTACCAATAGTTGTGTAATTATATATTGTTTAGGTCATAAATTGGTTGCCTTCCTATCAAGTTGAAAAATGGAAAATGTAGGTTATTGGGCTCAATGATGTTGATCTTAGAGTCTCTTGGCTTTCCCTCCATATATAGGACCATGTCTCTTGTAAATTTAAAACCATGCTTCTGGTGTTCTCTCTGTGAGAATTGCGAAGAGGAATGTTTTGTATATGAAATATTTTATCATGTCTAATTGTCAGGTATTTGTAAACTGTAGAAACCCTTTGTTTGTTCTAGTGTCATCAGAGATGTAAGAAATTGAATTTATTTCATATAAGCCAAATATGGCTGTATGTTGTCTAATGATTTATTAAAATTTCAAATAATACTCTTTATGTCAACCCCTTTGGAACAATGCCAGTGGCGAGATTGCTCAAGATGAAGGGAGTCTCAAGAAAAGCTTTTTAGGCTAGAGTGATCCTGTTGTACTTGTGTTATTTAATTCTTAAAAGCTTTTATGCTAATAATTTGAAAGTATCAGGAAGCATGATTTTTGAAAAGTTGAATTAAAGATTATTTAAGAGATAAAATGTTTTATCACATGCACATGCCTCCCCCCCCCCCCCTCACATTAAAACATACACACCTAAAATTATATGAAATTATATTACATTAAATCATAGATAAATATTCTTAAAAGAAACTGTATATATTATAAGCACATCAGTGTTTGTACTCATTTATTTATGCACAGTTACATACGTACATCTGTATGAATACTACTGGTGTGTATACATATGAATAAAAGAAAAATGTATATTCATCTGTGTATACTATGCATTTAAATAGATAATGTATATATGTACTTTTTAAAATCTCCCATTTCCGTGATATGATGACATGTTTCATCTGTTAAACAAACCTACATATGATCCTAGTGCAGGACTACTTACATTATCAGGAAAATCTGTTTACATACATACCAAATATAGCAAGCAAAACAAGGTATGTCTGTTTTAGATACAGCATTGGCAATTTTTTTTTTTCTCCACTATATGATCATCTTGACAGCAACACATACTAGAGGTGATGAGGAAAGGTAGGTTGAAGCAAAAAGCCAATTGCAGTTATTCCAAAGGGGATTTATATTTATCTTACGCAGCATAGTATTGTTGTAAGTGTGCATGAGGACTGAAAGGTGAATTTATAATGTTGATTTGAACGTTATTTTTATCATTATTTTCATTGATATGAAGGATATTTGTCCTTGCTATTGAGACTATTGATGTTTATATCATTACTGGCTTGGATAAAAGAAAGAAAGAAAAAAAAAATGAAAGTGACATGATAATCTAGAATAGTACATATTATATTTATCTGTGAACTTTAATTATTTATTTGCAAGAAGTTCCCATTGTATGTAAGTTTTTTTTATCATTACACAAAGCTACATCAGATACTTTTAAGAAATTGCATATGGCTGGTTAACTTTTGATATTTAATGTTTTTGGTCACAAAGGAGGAGTATTGATAATGCAGTTTCCTTCTATCATTCTTCCTTATGGGATTTTAGGGAATTATTAAAATTTAATTAACTTAACAAAGAGATACAGGATATTGAGACCAGAATGATGTTAAACCTGAAGGAAAGTGTTCATTTAATCTACCTTTTGATATTTATCTTGAATCTACAGAAACAGACCGCAGAAACTTCTAGTATTCTCAGGACTCGGTCAGTTTGGTCATAGTATGTTTTCAGATGTTACTTATTGTGTAATTGTGTGAGACTTGCAATGTTATTATCTTTTGACAGTGAATATTATTGAAATTTAAATAAAGAAGCAATTTATGATTTGACAAATATTTTTTTACAAACCACACATGAGTAATTTGATGGGTCAGAGTATTTAGTGATTTGCATCTACTGTCCTATTGTCCTCAGTGTTTCTTCACTTGTCATCTTAAGCCTTCCTTGTTAATTCATCACACTTGTTGATAGAACTGATAAGCATGTACATAAATGCATATATATATATACTTTGGTAACATGCACACACAGCCAGTGAAATATGAATATTACAAGGGTTGTTGGAAAGACTGAGCCTATCACAGCGTCTGGGTTGTGTTAGTGACTAGAAAGAAGCCTTCAATGTGGTGGTAATGAGATTTGTAAGCTTTCTGGAAATAACTTTAAAGAATTCAGATCATATAGTAAGAAATTGATTTATTTTAAATGAATGTGTGTTCCAGATATTACTTGAATTTCCTTATTTTTTAAGTAAGGCTGTAAAGAAATTTGGTTGCCAGATGTATTTGCTCCTCTGATGCCCCATTGGAAGGTTTACAGATATTTGTTTTGAACCATTGATAAAGCTCAAGCTTCCAAAGTTCAGTAGGTTTTTTTTTTTTTTTTTTTTTTTTTTTTTTCTTTGCCTAAAGAAAATTTACCACATGAGTAAATAACTTCTCCTTCAGTTTCATTAATCCCAAAACTATTGATTATTAAAATTTCCCCATAACTTCACTTTTATGGTGTTTCTAATTTCCTTTCAATGACAATTTTTATGAAGAACATTGGTTTATGTATATATGTATGTGTATATATATATATATATATATATATATATATATATATATATATATATATATATATATATATATATATGTATATATATATATGTGTATATATATATGTGTATATATATATATGTGTATATATATATATATGTATATATATATATATATATATATATATATATGTATATATATATATATGTACATATATATATATATATATATATATATATATATATATATATATATATATATATATATATGTATATGTATATATATATATATATATATATATATATATATATTTTTTTTTTTTTTTTTTTTTTAAGATGGTAAAAATTGTGTGCTCTTTACACTCTGGGTCCCCTCCAATCTATGCCTGTTGTTATTGTCAGAGGGGCATATGAGACGTACTGGGACCCAATGTAGGGGTTACCCTACCTTAGGCCTCAGCCCTCACCTTAACAAATATTGCAGTCTTTTCTTCTCCCCCTTTCCTTTTCTTTCTCTTCAATCCTTTCTGTACACATCCCCCCCCCCCAATCCCTTGCCCGTTGTTGTCGTGGGGGGGCTTAGGAGGCGGAGACTGGGACCCAATGATGGGGAACTCCCCAACCTTGGGACTCAGCCCTCGACTCAACTAATTATGCATGGTCTTTTTTTTTCCTTTCCCACTTTTGTTTCTGTCCCTTCACCAAACCCTTCTGCTATCCACCTCCTAAGGTGTGAGAGCCGTGCTGAAAGGATGAAAGGCTGACTTTGTGCCAGTCCTGAACGGCCTGAGGGAGCCATGGGCACGGTATTCCCCTGACTTAGTTATCTAGCCCTTACCCCTCAAGGGGACCCTGAGGGGTGGACTGTTTTTATCCCCAACATAATCCAGGCTTCCCATGGCCAGTAATGAAAATATATCTCCACTGTTAGGGGCAATGAGGCTTGCCCCTTTATCAAATAGCCCCAACGAAGTAAACCCACCTGATTCCCCGACCCCAGGCTCTCCTTTGACCACGGCTCCGAACACTGCAATAACTACCCCTTCACCAATGCCTACTAGTACAGTAGCCAATAATCAATCCTCAAGGAACATTTCCACTCTCCCAGCATGCCCAACTTCAACACCTCTACCCCCACAACCTCCAACATCAACCACCCCATCCTCCCTTATTAATACCTTACAGCCTTATAGCCCACCTCTCCATAACACTACCTCCCTCAACACTACTCCATCTTCGTCACGCCCTCGCCCTTCTACCACCCCTATCTCTAAAACAATCTTGAATACTCTCTTCAGTGCAGCCAAATGGGACCGATTTTTCGTGATCCCTCCCACAGCTCCCTACTCTGACAACACCCTTCTCTTCCAACAATGCCTCCAAAAACAAGTAGGTAAAGTCTCTTTCCGTAGCCGACCCGACCGCTCCCGTCTTGTCACAGTAACATCCGAAAACCAAGCTATAGCATTAACAAAACTAACTGACCTATATGGTAACCCCATCCTAGCAGAACCCCATCCAACCCTCAATACTTGCACCGGAACAGTCTCAATCTCCCCAGCAAATTGCCCAATCTATGACAAAGATTGGTCAGATTGTGGAGAAGATCTACTTGCCTGTCTCACAGACTATGATGCAACATCAGTACAATGCTACTCCATCCCCCCCAGAGGTCATCGAAAGAAACCCACTAACATAGCCAAAATTACCTTCCGTAGACATGACCTTCCCTTTAACGTCTACATAGGAGGAGAATCCCTCCCTGTTCGTCCATACCAACCTCCTCCACGTCAGTGCCAAAATTGTTGGCGTCTAGGACACCCAGCCAAACACTGCCGTTCCACAGCCAGATGCCCATTATGTGCCCAACCTGTCCATATCCGATCTAACTGCTCTGCACAATCACGCACATGTGCCAACTGTGGCGGCCCCCATAATGTATTTTATAGGGGCTGTCCCACCTACAAATTTGAATCTGAGGTAGCAACTCTCAGATTCAAACTTGGACTCACACTGCGTGAAGCCAGACAGGAAGCACGTCGACGTGGATTCTCTCTTACTCCTTACTCCAGTAATACTGCTCATTCTAACACTTCTCCTAAACCCACCCCTCCTACGTCTAACCCCCCCACTTCTACCTCCTACCTTCCCCAGTCAAACTCTTTTGCCATCCTAAATCCAGAAATTCCATTCTCTACTACAGATACTCCAATCACCACTAGAACCCCAACACCTTCCCCTCTCCCTCCTCGCACTCCCCGTAACAGACAGAACAAACGTTCCACCCCCTCTTCCCCTACCACACAATCATCTCCACCTTCCTTTGCCCCTACTCTTGAGACACCAGCGTTCTCTTCCCCCCTCACAAGAAATCCTTTATCCCACAAAACTCCCCAACCAACTCCATTGAAGAAACTCTTGAAAATATCCAAGACTTCTTAATGAAAACTGACCCCCATCAACTTTCAAATCCTACAACTCCTGCTTCCTCCACACACCAAGTGACTGCCGATATCCATCCTCCTCCTAATGATATCCCCCCTACACCCTATCCTCCTACCCCCTCCCAACACAACCCATCCCCCCCAACTCCAACCCCACCCACATTAACCCTCCCACCATCCCCTCTATCCCTTCCACTCCCTCCTGGATACACACATGAATCCCTTATATCACAAGCATCCCTTTCCACACCCGTCTAACACACCCCTATCTGATGTCGCAATCCGATCCACCCCTATGCTCTTTATGTAATGTTCCTCTTTCAGTCTCACACATTCTATTATCATGCACACGTTTTGAAGCAGCCTGTAGCTCTGCTCCCCCCCCCCCACCTATCCTCCCTTCGACAACCTGTTTTCCTCTCAAACACATAAATATCCCTCACTTAATCTAACCCCTTTACATTACCTCACCTGACCTTAACCCATTCACTCACCAATTCCTTTGCCCAGCTTTGTTAACTAATCACTAACTTAACCACCCTTTACTAACATTTACAATAGTGCTACATGACCTTAGATGTCTAGCACATTTATTTTTGCTTTTAACCATTAGTCAGGCACTGTTCGATCACGTGGATGGGGCGTAGATTTGAACCAGAGTACCCCAAGTCCAACAACTGCACAGAGTCTGCTTTTATCTAGGGCACTCAGTAACTAGCCACTTGGTAAAAATCTAATGGGCTTGGAAAAATGATAGCCAAATTGAAATGAAACGACAAATTTGCAAATTTCATAATCTTTCAAGACAATTTCTATAATGATACTTCCACAATTGAGCAGTGCCTACGGGCATGAGCGTGCAGTCTGCCTTGTGACTGGCTTTCCAATTATGTACGCTGACAAACCATCAAAGTGATAATTTTGTGAAATTGCCTGGTAGTATGACCATTACTACCTCCATCCCCTTCCCGTTGCTGCCGGGGGTGGGGGTGGGGGGGGAGGAGACGAGGACTGAGACCCAATCATGGAAATCTCCCTTGCCTTAGGCCTCAGACCTCGACTCGATTAATTTTGCACACTCTTTTACCCTCCCCATTTTTCGTTTCCGTCCCTTCTCAAACCCCTTCTACTATCCGCTTCCTAAGGTGTAAGAGCCGTGTTCAAAGGATGAAAGGCTGACTTTGTGCCAGTCCCGATGGGCCTGGGAAGCCATGGGCACGGTATTCCTCTGTTTAGTTGTCTAGTCCTTACCCCTCAAAGGGACCCCGAGGAGTGGACTGTTTCTTTCCCCATCTCGAGGTTTACCATGGCAGTAATGAAGATTTTATACCCTTATTAAGGGCAATGAAGCTTGTCCTTTCATCAAAATAGCCTCCCCTGACTCAAATTCTCCCGGTTCTCCGAACCAGGATCTACTTTGACCACGACTCTGAACGCTGCTACTACTACCCCTCCTCATTGCCTAATACATCGTCCACCCAGGTCAACAGTTAACTTCCCTTTCAAACCACTGTCCCGCATCTTTCTTCGCCGCTGGATCACAGCTAATTCAGTCTACTCCCCTTCCCACCCCATTGACTTTGTTGCCTTTGAAAATCTAATTTCCCAACTCCATTGGCGTAGCGAAGGGGGGGGGGGTTCGGGGTGTCAGAACCCCCCCATGGGCCATGGATATAAGGCACCATATCAAACTTGAAGTTATAATATTACATTTATATAACTTACAGAATGCGCCACAGACGACGTACAGGGATGTAAAAATCATTTTTTTTTCTCAAACTTGTCTTTGTAATACACAACTTATCATTCATCGTCCTTAAATGCCCTGGTTTGCATATAAC